AACAATGCTTTACCCCTCCGCTTCCTCGAAACCCTCCAACAATGCATTGTTCCAACTTATCCATAAAACTTAATTTAAATTCTAATTTCGTTTCCCCCTCCTTCTAGAGCAAATTAACTCTCCTGAACTGGAATATAAACGGAATCATTCCAAAAATTAATTATATAATATCTCTTAAATAACCACAATATAGACGTCGCAGAAATGCACCTTACATCCAAAGATTAACTTGTCTCGGATTACCTGACTTACAGATTTGTCAGACCTTCTCGTACTGTGACGGAGTAATAATGTTCAATAATAATAATAATAATAATAATAATAATAATAATAATAATAATAATAATAATAATAATGTCATACAAAATATTCGACATGAGTCTCTGCTACCGTAAACCACCCCCGCTCATGAAAAGATAGTAAGAGCGCTCTATCAATCACGTGGTATCATATTAATCGCGGAATGTAAGCCTCCTAACATTCCCCTGAAACAAAGTCAACGAAACACATTGTTCTCAAACTGGACTCCTACAATAGCCATAAGCGACTTCAATCAAAACTTTTACTGCAATGAATACCAACCAATACCTATTGCTTCAACGCCAAACAGACCTCATGAGGATGCAGATACTGCACACCCGAAAGGAAAAACACTTCTCAAATATGCTAACAACAATAATCCAGACCTGCGATGGAAAAAAAAGTACAAGGAAATTGGTTGCTGAACGTCATGTATGACGATTTCAAAAAATAAATAAAATTTTAAAAAAGTAAATAAATGAAAAGAATTCTATCACGTCACGCTTTCATGTAAAAATCAATTTTACTTAGATTTGTATGTATATTTACAATTTTTTCCAGCATCGAATTTCTTCCCTCCCTGCCTTACCATCATTCGTGATGGAACCTACAGAAAACCCCTGTGACATCTGCCCAATGCCGTCCCTCCCTCCCCATCGCAATATCTACCAATCGCGTCGCGGGAATATCTCGGATCCGAATCGGCAGTCGGTTCGTCTCAATTTTTCTTTCATGTAATGTCGTGTCTGCGCTGATATAGTGAGAAGTGGGTACTCCATCCTGGAAATATTCTAATGGTTGCTTTTCACTGTGCGTTTCGTGAAACATGGCTTCGAGTGTGAGACGTGAAAATTTGCCAGATGACTTGTAACATGTGCGGCGAATTTAGTTATATTCAAAATTGCATAAGGAACATTACAGACCATGTAATACAACTTTATCTTGCGAATTTTGGCACGAAATTCTGAGTCCAGAACTTATCGTAGGCTCATAAAGTTGGTGTACAGTGTGTCAATGAACAACAGTTCTGGTTCAAAGAAAAAAAAAAAGTTTCCTTTACGATTTGAAATTCCTATGAAATGGAGAGAGACGAAAAAACACTCTCGTTACTGTTGTTCCTACCTTATCCGCGAGTATAACAGCAAAGATCAACAGCTGATCTCTTATACTGATAACATTCCATCGACCATATGTTCCTCAGGACATGATATGGTCTAGTGCTTTTGACAGGCAACTGGATTGACAGGCATTTCTTCCGAGTCTTTAGACCCGGACCATCATGAAGTTCAAGTCTCCGGCACCGAATACACGTCCTCCGACGGCGATTCACACTTCTCTCAGGTTGAACTTCGATCCAACTGGAGATCTGGGCCTTTTGAAAGACGCAACTCGATTATTGGAAATTAATAGGGGGGGGGGTACTGGACAAAGGGACCTCTTCTGATTGATATAGGAAGCGAGAAGAAGAAATTGTTAAATACGTTGACGAAGAGTATTCTCGTAACCTGATCTATTATTCTGATGTTTCCGGATTAATTAACAAATTTAATATCACTTACTATGAACATGAATGGATGCTGTTTATAGATTCAACGAAAAGGAGCCTTAAAGCTGTCCTACATTACGGAATACAGGATGCATCTATACCAATTGCACACTAGACACATTTAAAAGAACGCTATGAAAACTTGAAGTCATAGGCTCCTGCGGCCAGAGTCGACATCTTGGGTGTCAGCGCTTCATCACCCGGATAGCCAAGCTATGAAAACCTGGCTCTAGTCCTCACCAAAAAATGCCGACCACAGTTGGACCATTGACGGTGATTTGGTGATCTCCAACAAGTCGAATGTACAGAGTTCCCATGTTTCATTTGTGAATGGGACAGCCTTGATAAGACGCAACATAGGGGCAAGAAAGAGGGGCCGAAAAGACAAAATCGTGAGCCAGACACCAATAATGTGATTCGGAACATCTTAGCCAAAAAAAGGATTGTTACCTCCTCTGCATATACAATTAGGTATACTGAGGCACTTTGCCGCCAGCGCAAATAGAATTTGACCACAAATATCGATTTTACAAAAAACCCGGACGCGATGGGAGACAACGGAGGTACCAAATAACAGAAATCAGCGAAAAATGTTTTTCAAAAATTCCAATTTTACAGGCCTATGTTATAGATGACCGCTAAGCGATATTAAGTTGCGAAACATCATTTCGGCATCAGAGGAACTCTCTCAATCATGCATCAACCTAGCCATGCGCACAGGTGCGTGGGGCAGGGGGCCATGACCCCATATTTATTTTGAAAGGGACGCTATACATTTTTCTAATAAAAAAAATGTATTTACGTAAATATGTTTATTTTATTTCTTCCTCCTCTAACCCTATAATTTGAGGAGTGTTTATACATTCGGGGGAAGAGGTCAGAGGAAACAAACCACTTGCCACCACGTAAATGGTTCAACATAAAAGCAATTGTATTAAGAGTAATTATTTAAGTTATCATTTGTCCCCCTTTTTCTTATTAATTTCGTAGTAAGACGAGTAATATTTAAGTCGGGGGCCGATCCACAGACAAATTTGGAGAGAGAAAATTAAAAATGTTTGGTCGACTGTGCCATTACATATTTTGTAAACTGTAGCAGGCTACACGCAGCTCATGCTGCATTATGATTTTACTAGTTTGAATGATTATCCGAAAATAATAGTGCTTGAAAGTTTCGTGACAAGTTAAAATTAATAGCTATTGAAAATGTTGGGGGGGGGCGGGGGTCCCTCATTTCTTTCCCCCTGGATCCGCGCCTGTTTAAAAAAGTGAAAAAAGTGACAAAAGTGTCCAGTAATGTAATTGTCCCTTCCCCCGCTTTATACTCAACTGATCATACATATGTGCACATCCAATCATATGTGTATTACTATCTTCAGGTCAGGAAAATGCCATTACTTCAGTGTATTCTGTAAAAATTAATCTAGAATTTCATCGCCTCTCCTCTCACCAGACGAGTTTGTTAGGTGTTTAATTTGAAAATAAGTTTGTTTCGATGTCACACCAAGTTAAAAATGACATAATAGTACGGTTGGACAAATACCATCCAAAATTGAAATGAAAGTAAATAATGTAGAACGTATGTGCAAGACTACAACATACAGACTGTTTTAAGTCCATTTTTCTATTTCTCCAGGAGCCACTTCCAAGTTTTTGTACGTATTGGATAAGTATGGAATGGATTAGTATAGAATGAGTTTTCTTCATTCTAAGGGAGTGGAATACTAACAATTTTGTTTGATGCATACTGTAGATGGGGAGAAACACTATGAAACAGAAATCTCCTTTTGTTGCAAAATGGGGCTTAGAACAGTCAGATTATCAGCCAACGGTAATACGAAATTTGACGTCGCTCACGCCACAACCCAGTAATACACGATTGAAGTTTCGGTAGCATCAACATATTCTGGTGGGCTGCCAAAACCAGTGTGGGCGGTGCAGATCGAAAGGCTGTGTCGACGACACGGTGTCGGGTCGGGACGGGGCGTATCGATCGCCGCCCGCCGCGGAGCCAGCCGCCTTGCCACGTGCGTCGCCCATGCCGCGCGTCAAAACAGCCTGTTTGGGGCGCGTCAAAGGGCCGCCGCTCTGTGATCGAGGCGGCCTTGGCGCGGCGCCCCGCCTCTCCCCGCCAGGGCTCCAAGCAGGCGGTGGCATCGTCGCGCCGCGCCGCGCACGTGTCGTGCTCTACACCGACGGCCAGGCAGCCCATGCAACGTTCCTCCCTAGCACGACTCGCACATGCCAGCCTCACCAATTATAAGGAACACGAACTACGTAAGTGCAGCTGGCTTCAACGGCGTCGTCGCTCGTAAACAACTCTTATACTTTTCCCCCCAGTTACCCCAAACCAATACAATAACCACCACTCTAAACAAACAAATACTACTCACCGAAACAGCAACTTCATAAAACATCCAAATCCTCGACATGTTGCAACTTCGGCTGTGTATGTGACAGTCATCTTGGTGGTTTTGGTTTCGCAATAAATTCAAAAGAGGGTATTGGAAATCCGCCGAGCGGTCCTTTTCTAGAGGTTTCCGCTGCCGCTAGCCTAAGCACGGCCGCGCGCTGGCACCGCCGCACTGGCTGTCACTGCACGGTGAGGTTATGTGGCGGCGCTCCGGAGCCCGTTGCGGATCCCTCGGGCCAAATGCGCTTGGCTCGGACAGTGTGGGCGGATGATACATCATTTGCGAGTCAGGAACTATACGTTACGGCACTGACACTCACGTCCAACGCTTCTAATGCCAACATGTTTTCAAATTGTTCCCCTTAATCCAAAGTAAAAGAGCACACGTAAAGACGGACGCACGACGGCACTTCCTTTGTTTCGAATCGGTCTCTAGCCCTGACCTCGCTTCACGCGCTGCACGCTTGAACTTCACCAACACGCACTGTCCCCACTCCTTCGTAATGGCCAACCACTCGCCGAATGCTCGGCGTGGCGCGGCGATCTATTGTGATGAGTGAAGGCGGCGGCGGCGACGACGAGCGCGCCATCTACCGGTATATTGCGGAACCGCTCTACCCTTCCCGGTCGCAGTTTTGGATAGAATTTTCCCATGAACGTCTATACTGTCGGGGCTATTTTATATTCTAACTTGAAATATTATAGTTTTCTCCCTTCAGGGGTAATAAATTTGACACAATGTATTGGCAGGCAAACAATACTCTTATTGCATCACAAACTTCCTACAGAATTATTTATACAAATACACTTTTGTTTTACAGTACATAATATCGGAAGCACTTCCAACAGCCACAAGAAAACGGCAATCACCAGTAGAAATTGTAAAAACATGAATAGTATGGCATTAGGTTACTATTTACATTAAAAATAACATTTCCTCAACATTTCAATGTATAGTTCCTATAAAATACAGTCATGCTTACCCTGAGAGGTAATAGCTAAAGCACACTGTACTATCGTGCAAACAAATATTGTAACAATTTAACATCTACTCCTCCAAACACGGCATCAATTGACAAATCCACATCACACGCCTAGTAGGGATGCAAAATACTTTCATGTACTGAATTTCAAACATTCTGAAGGAAAGATTCTGTAAGCAGTAGACTGAATAAGCAAACATGTCCTGCTAATCTAAAACATTTGTCTTTCCATAACATACAGATCTTTAAACAGCAGCATCCTGAAACTCACAAAGGCCTACTACACACTTCTAACAAGGAATGCAATCACCTGCCAGCAGATATCCTGAGAGGCAATGGAATAAGCAGGAAAGGTCAATAAGGCAAACCACAAATTAAACCTGTTGCAACGTTTTTATTGGAAGATTCTGGCCTCAAAATTCATAAACTAAATATAAATTTCTGTCAATTTGGACAGGAAATGTTTGGAATTGAAGATGAATGTTCACGTAACACTAGATATGATTAAAATTCGCAATACAAGGGAGTGAATTATGCAGTACAGCAAATATCACACTTGGAGTCAATGGACCACTCAACACAAAATTTAAGAAAATTATATGTAATCAAAGAAATGTCCTGTACTTTGTAAGCTTATGGGTAAATGTCACTTATTGTATATTTTTGGTTACTTTTTTTACATGTTCTCTTTTTTTGTTGTTTTTGTAGTAAAATTATATATAATGTATCCACTTTGTCTTATAGTTGTTGCCCTGTGAAAACTGCCTTCTGACGTTTTCATTAATACTTGGAAACTGTTAAGAGCTTGTGGATTTTCACATTCTGTTCCTAACTCACTTGCGGAACCTGTGCAGCCTCATCCCACTCAACTGATCAATAGTTTCCACTTAATGAAGTTCAGGGAGTCTACCGAGAACATAGCACAAAAAAAATACAAACTCCTGCTTACATCCACCTTCAATTGTCATGAAGGTTACTTGCCTCATACATACATTTTACTTTTTTACAGTTCTAAATAAAGATGTACATATTTCCGTGGTGAGACTGGCTTCTCATTTCACACGAACATCAGTCTACCCAGTCATATATACACCACTGAAGTTCAACTTCCATTAAAACACAGCATTCAATTGTTGGAACAAAGAGTGCATGAGTGACGAATTGCAGAATAAGATTACTTGAATCAACTTATTTCTTCTACTGTTGCTTGTTGCCTCCTCCACGAGCGAAATTTCCTGAGCGGTTGCCCCGAGGATTGTTGCCACCACGACCTCCACCAGCACGCAACCCTGCAAAAGGATCTGTTCTCAAACAAGACACAGAAACATAATAGCAACCTTACAACTTGGTCTTGAGATACCTACCTCCTCGGTCCATGCCCCCTCTGGAATTACCACCACCCCTTTCCATTCCACCCCGGGGGTTGCCACCTCCCCCTCTGCCTCCACGCTTAAATCCTCCACTGAAATTATCCCGCTGGTAGCCGTTCTGATAGTAATTATTGCTTCTGTCATCATTGCGATATCCATAACCTACACAAGAACATAAATTTATAAAAGGTTTTCAAATTATTTACAGAACTAAGTTGCATAAAAATTCCTCAAACTGACCTCCGCCGCCACCTCCCCCACCACCACTGCCACCACGACCATTCTGGTAATTTCCACGACCTCGTCCTGAATAGCCGTTTGATGATCCCCTTCCACCTCGAGATCCTCGCCCACGTCCACCGTAGTTGCGGTTTCCTCCTTGAACAGTGTAACCTGCAAGCATTCATTATTTAATAATGTGACAATCAACAACACAAAAACTCTGGAAGGATTCGATTTAAAAAATTCAATCACTTCCTTACCATCATTCTGGCTGTTGCCAGAGTTCCAGTCATCATTACTAACTGCCTGACCCCACTCTCCACCACCAGTTTCTGTCTGGGTGCTCCAGTCACCTCCCTGAGGTACTTCAGTGGAATTAACCCACTCATCCATGGTGTCTTCAGCTCCAGGAGCTGCAGGAGCTTCAGATGTTTGGACTGATTCAGGCTATAGCAAAGAATTGACAAAAATGTTACTTTTCATTTCTCTTACTAATTTTTTCCATTGCAATTCTTGCAAATGATTGATAAACAGATTGATTGTATTCTAAGTTCTCTTCCGGGCTGAAGGGCCGTGGTCTATTGGAAGACCACGGCCCTTCAGCCCGGAAGAGAACTTAGAATATAACGCCGGCCGTGAAAGCCTACAGTGTTTTAGATTGATTATAATTCTTTTCAAAAGCAATGTCAATCACCCATCTACAGAAACAATAAAACAAAAAAATTTACTGAATTACAGAAACTACATCAATGCAACAACAAATGCAAACTAAAACACCAGAAGTGGAAATTAAATAAGAATGGCATTGATGACTTTAAAGTGGTTAGAGCAAGCTATTACCTAATAGATAGAGAGTGCATATTACGTTCAAAAATATTTATTTGCGGGATAAGTGGGTATTGTGAGATCTACATAAACAAAATAGGGACTTTTATAATGAGTTTTATTTAATTATTCGAATTAATTTTGTTTTATGGATGAAAAATAAAAATATTTTCAGACCACAAAGAGCTACTGTTGACTAGTTTCTTAACTAGTACCAACAGATCGCTTGGCCACGAAATGAAAAAATTTAAGCAGATTAAACATATAAAAGCACTATTACACAATTAGTACGAGTGAAATCATAAAAAGTAACATTCTAGACACATATCTATATTTTTGCACAGTGATAGCTAATAATGGCATAACTTTCCATGTTTGAGTGGGTCAAGAAGTCTTTAGTAAATTGGGTAACGCCGTACTGTCCTTGAGATTGGCACGACTGCTCAGGGCTCATGCTTCTTCTCAAGTTTCGTTGTTTTGAATCACTTTGAATACTGTTCGTTGCCCGGTCGACACGCGGTAAATATCACAATATGAACTAATTGGCGGAAGGTTTATTTCCAAAGCGGAATTTGAGAGGTAACGAAATAATTCCCCCAATATCACGAGAACAGTGACATAATACAAAGTTTTCAAATATTTTTTTCAATTTTTGGTTCTAATTTTTATTTCTTGAATAACCTAAGCCAATGGCATGGCAAACCTTATATTATCTGATTGCTTAACAACAAGATCAACAGTGGTTCTCTCCAACATTGTATAAAAGCTTTATATTTAACTTGACAGAAATCGTAAATATTGGCTCATTATCCTTCTTATCACAATATTTTTTTCTTGTTTTTTTTTCTTTTTATTTTATTTTTACTTAGTTAATTAAACTGCATGATAAATTTTTAATTTTTCAATAGTTTTGATTGAAATTTTAAAACTATTTTTGCTACTGCAATATGCCATAATATTTCCAGCGGTGTGATTATATAATTCATAGAAAGTATTTGCTGGTTTTCAGAGGAATTTTATATCATGTTATGATTGATTTAGATGGAGATTACTGTGTAAAGTACATCTCAAACTAAGGCTGATAAAATGAAGTTACTGCATCATATAATTCTGAGAGCTGAATTATTGAGACCTTCAATTACAAAATTATAACATTGTTGGAGATAAAATCTTCAAAAGAGATTTCCAAGTGGCATAATCTATTGTAATCGTTTGCCTTGATGTTGCACTCAAAATGAAAAGAGGTTTAAATGTTTTAATAATGAGACATGGGAACCATTCAAAATGCATTACTACTGTTCACAAAATGCAAACAATTAGAATATTGTCCTAAAGAGAAAAGGGTTTTCTATTAAAATATTAAAATACCAAGGCTAAATATATCTTCCTCTTACAAATTCAATAAAATTTAATTATTAATTACAAATGCAATTATTAAATTTGCCCAAGCACGGAATTAGATACTGTAGGTCTTCAAGCACAACAGTATACAGGGTACTCCTTCAGAAAAATCTTTAAAAATAATTATGAATAAATTTAAAGAACACTAATTATGATAGAATAAATCCTTGTTCAAGTACAGATGTAAATTAACAAATTGTTTACAAAATAGAAATTGCTTTTTAAATTTCTGATTTACAAATACATGTTTGGTTTCTTATTGTTCCATTAAATTTAGCTTTAAAATCAAACATTGCAGTAGAGTAAACTATTTGATTCATGATTATTCAGATTAAAACATTTTAAAAAGTTTTTAATATTTATTTTAAAAAATCCGGGCACGGTGATGGAAGTCCCAAGACTAGGAGGAAATCCAGCTCTGCATTCACCTATACCTTGAATGGTTTATATTAACATCAGCAAACAGTATTTTATCATTGCAACACATCTGAAGCCACTAAAAAGTCTATATCTTTCTGAATTGAATGCATACTTACTAGCTCTACAGATTGAGGTGCTGATCTATGCTAAAGATTGCTGCTTTGAGTCCTGTGTAAGCAACTGTGGTGCAAAAGGCAATGACAATCCACTGTTTCTCTCCATAATAAAAAAGAGAATATGAATAATTTTTGAATAATTGAGTAAATAATCATTGTTCAGGAACAAACACAGACATACAGCACAATACAAAATAATATTACTGTACTGAATGTTTAAAAAATTCTATAAACGCTCAAGATCACCCATTTTCTCATAGAGACATCAAAGTGAGTCATTGAGAGTATTAATCGAATGAATATTTTCAATGAAATCGCACTAATTATAATAATATTTATAATAATAATATTTATAATAATATTAATAATTATAATAATATTAATTATTATAATAATAATAATAATAATAATAATAATAATAATTATTATTATTATTATTATTATTACCCTCAAATTACAGCTTTTCTGAATTTCTGGTTACTATCAAACGCAATGTTCTCCAGGAGTGAGGATATTGTAATTGCTGCCAGAAGATCCAGCGGAATGTACAAACTCTTGCAGAGGTCTTGTCACTCGATTTGAATAAAGAGCATAGCATGCACGATGATGCCGAGTTGCACGTCACAGTCCCGACCCTCTAGAAGCACATGAAACTTTCCCTTTGGACCGATTTAAGCTCTTAACTTCACAAAAGTCTCCCATTTGGAACGGTAGATTTCCTTCAAATTGGGCATATTAATTCTTCGAGACGCTAGCCACCAAAATAAGAGTTTTTAAAAACATGTTTAACAGTTAATTTACTCACAATTTTTCAAATTTTCATTTACTTTCAATATTCAATTTTCATTTTTGGAGCTAGTTTTCACAGAAAATGGTTGAGTTTTTGAGAAACTATATCTGACATTATTTAAAGCACATATACTCATAAATGCAAAAAAGTTAACAAATTGCAGCTATTATAAATATTAACAACATGAAAGATAGGTCAAAATATTTGAATATTTAAAAAACAACAACAAAGGAATAGAGCAATATGGCATTTGTCATCTTATAGACTACATTTAGCGCTATCCATACCAATAGTTAAAAGAAAAATTTTGGAGCTGTTTTGGCAAAAATCTTTTATAATTTTTTAAAATTGCACATATTGCATGGAAACTTAAAATTTTCAAAAAAAAATGTACACGACCTTAATGAAAGAACTCACTATGGAAAACAAATTATATTTAATTTTGTAGTTGTAGGAAGACCTCGACGAAAATCATACTTTTGAAGTTTTCGAAAATTTAGAGTTAACCGTGAAAAATCAGACCTATGCCACATTTATAAGTGTGTTATTCCATTCTTACAAGAAATTTAAAAAAATAAAAATTGGAACAGTTTTTGAGAAAATTTTGAAAATGCCCGTAGGGTTTCATGTAAAGTACACCCAAATTTTGAAGAATGTTTTTCAAAATCTCAATGTTTGAACTCGAGCCGGATGGATAGCGGTTTCGGAAAAAATCCTACTTATGGTTTAGGCGTTAGTGGTGTACACAGACAGATAATACATTTTGAAATAAAAATAATTATAATAACAATAATAATAATAATAACAATAATAATAATAAAATAAAAAACAACACTTTTTAGGTATCTGGGGACACCAAAACGTGAATTTCCATTGAAATATCGAAATCCATCTTCTGCAGCATTACATAACTTTGGCTTACTATGTATATTACTCCATATATACATACGTATACAGGGAAGTAAAAAGCTGCGGTATAATTGAATTAAAATCAGAAAATTCTTTAAAAATACTAGACACCAAGTTTGATTATGATGTGAAACCCAGAATTCCTTAATTTTCTAAATGTTGCACTTTGTAAACAAATTATAGTGAGGAGCACTGTAACTCCATACATAGAACATTAAGAATGAAAATCATACAACTAAACTTATCTCAAACACTTTGTGGGATTAAAATTATTACATTATCTCATATTTTTTGCACTGATATTGCTACACTATTACTTGTATTACGCCAAGAATAATGGAAAAGAATTATTGACAAAGTTTAATTTTTTAAATTCTCCTTTAGATAAAAAATGAGCTTTCTTAGGTACACATCTTCCTCACAAGAAAATTAATAGTTTCAAAACATTTTGAAAGATATGTATCACTTGATACACAACATGAAATGTTTAAAACGGAGAGAGAGGGAGAAGAAAAATGAACACCCTCTTTAGATTAGAAGTTTTACATTAAAAGAACTATATGAAAGCAGCATATTCAAGTCCGTCATTTCTAAATAAAAATAAGAGGGAGAGTGGCTCCGCAGTTTGAAAGAGCTGCAACTGCTGCTATGCGCAAATATCTGACTAATTTCACCTACGTCTCTTATTGATTGGATGCATTTGAATGAATGAGGGAAAATTACTTTCTCATGCACTCAACTTGTATTTTGTACGAGTAAAAAAGCTAGGATTGAGGATAAATTTTGTTACATGTCTTCACTAAGTTAAGAACCACAAATTTGTGAATTACGAAAAACATTCACCATGGGTTCTGGTTTAAGCGCTGAGAAACCAGCCGAGGGCAAGGACTGAGGCTGAGCAGCAACCGGCTGAGTTGGCACGGGTGGGGCCTGCACGGGCTGGGCGGGGGCTGGCTGCACAGGGGTCGTGGGGGCCTGCGGCTGCGCCACCACCTGTGGCTGTACCTGTGAAGGCGGAGGCACCTGCTGAGGCGCCTGCTGCTGGACCACGTGCGGAGGCACCTGCTGCGGAGGAGGAGGCTGCGCCACCTGAGGATGCTGCTGGGCCTGCAACAAAGCCAGAGCAATCTCACAACTAAGCACTGCAATTCTCTACAATAGCAAATATCACTCTAAAGTATAACAAGTCTTAAAATCATTTGCAATTGACAATTCATTTTGCAACCCAAATAATATTAACTGAAAGCAATTTCAGCTGCAAAAGTCTCATTTACAAACACTACTTAAGGCATTAAGACCCCTTTAAGATAAAACCTCAATAAGCACTCGTGCTAATGATGCAGTTTCACACCATTGACCATTACAAAAAAATTCTATTGCAAGCTTATTATTTTCTGGACACTTAGAAACAGAACAAAATTTAAGATATTTGCATTGGTTCATAGATACTTATAAATGAATTATTACATCTAAAATTTGGGACAGCATACCTAACATATAAACAATTTATTACTCTTCACACCTAACTACATTGTTTACACAAAACATCATAATCATCTTTGCAGACTTGTTTTCTACATTTAGCACCAAAAAAAAGTTATTTTTCTGTTCTTATTTTTAGGGCATGCAAGACACCATTTTATTTTTTGAGAGATTGTAACTAAAGAGAAAGCAGAAGTAGAAAAGAGTTGTTTGATTTTTGAAATCAGGTGCTTTGGTAATTAACTAATTTGTGATCTTTTTTGCATGCATTTGTAAACAAGGCTCACAGGAAGACTCTTCAAGTACTGTTGCCTTGGTCTCATAGACACATTGCTTGCTTGCACAATGAGGTATAGAGGTGACATTCCCTTTCATACCTCAAATAATTCATAATCAATACATTCAAGCAATGTGCCAGCAAGACTGAAGCACTGCTGCAAGCCCCTGCTGCTGCCGACGGAAGTGGTGGTGCGGTGACAGATCATTTTGCACAACTGCTTGACTGTTATCACTCTTCCAGGGTCCCGTTGTGCTGTTGTGAATGGCTTATATCATTCAGACAACAGATAGTATGTGGTAAAAGGTAAATGAAACAAATTTCCACACTGATTTTTTTACAGAGTACTCATTCTTTATACACATACTGAAATAAGAAATTTTTAAAAACGGTTTTGTTCAATGGAGAGAAAAGAAAAGAAAAAAGAAAAAAAAAGAAAAAAAACACGTTGATGAGAGAATGAATTAATTAATTTCCCAGGTTTTCATGTAAATTCGTTCTAACAAAATCCAAAGAACATTCTATTTTGTAAATATGGTTATTTCCCTACTTATAGGACATTTTATTTCAAACACCTACAAAGTTTAAATTATATACGATGAAAAGTCTATCAGAAAATGTCCAATGAAAAAAATGAACTTTCAAGAAAACAGGTTTGAATAGTAACTTCCTAGTGCCTGCCATAGAAAACAGATGGCATCATCTTCATTTTCTTCCCTTTCTACATTCTTCTGTTTTGTCTTGCTTTTCTGTATATTTCTATCTCTGCATTTCTGCTCTTTTCTCATTGCAAGTGTATGCATTCTATACACTGTTACTTCTATTTTGGCATCTACATCTAAGTTGGGCATTGAAGAACTTCACATTTTATAATTTCCCTTAACTGAATGATGCAATAATCTCGAGCACACCAAAAGCTTATTAATACGAACAAACAATGTTTTAGAGTTGCAATTCCATATCAGACAATTCACAAGTCCATTAGAGTTGTGTGTGACAGAAGACACTTCTTCCACATTGATGTCTGCAAGATCTCTGAAGATGTTTCTTTTATCCATGACAGCACTTGCTACACTTAACATGGTCATATTTCTCTTCAGTTGCGTTTCCTCAATTGAATTTGCATCAGCTGCCAACACGTTCAAGCATCAAGTTGTTCCAGTGGTAGAAGTTGTGAGCAAATGGAGTGCGTATGTGTTGCTTTAAGAGAGCAATTATCATTTGTTGCCACTGTCATAGCAATCTGATTTAAGTTTCATTTTAAACAGGAAAGATTAGGGAAAATAAAAACACAATAAAACCAAACTTAATTTTTTGGTCCCATTATTGATTTGCACTCCTCTTAAAGAAAGAGATTCTGCTTAAAACTTACTTGATTGTGAAATCGCTTACCTGCTCTTTGCGTCTCAGTGGTTTAATTTCAGAGAAGTATACAAAAACTATTCTTTCTCAATCTACTCCTTTGTTTTCAGTAGAAAAAGAACATTGGGGAGGGGGAGATAGAAAGAACAAAGAAGAAAATAAAGAAAAAATAAGCCAATACTTCATAAGCAATATCTAGGATAGCTTTACAAATCGGCCAAAGCAGCAAGCATTAAATAAGCATTCAAACTAAAGAAAAAATATTGCAAACTTTACCAAAGTCCAACAATTTTACAAAGTTATATAATCGACTTTAAACATATTGTTCTCGGTAAATATTCACTTCTCTGCACTATACTCTTCTTGCAATCCCTACTCCCTTTTTCTGTTCCACTTCCCTTCTGCCCCTCACCACGACACTTCATATAATTACCATGCTATCTTTGGCCACTTCCTTGTCAGCATTGCTCTGACTGGAGTCTACCAGGAGGATATGAAATTCCATTCACACACAAATTATTTTGTAGATCCCATTTTTTCCTAGACGCAGACCTCATTTTCTTCCCAGCCTGCATTGGAGATTAAGTGTTTTTATCAAAAACACTGAATTATGAAAATTTCCGTTTTGCTAAATTAATTTTAGATCACCAATAAATTATTTATGGGATAAATATAAAAGAATGTCACTATAATCAAATTTTAACTTTCACTATAAAAAATTAAAGCATCACCGTTTTGGTGGTTTTTATCTTTTTAACTTTTCATTCAGGATTGTTATTGGTTGTTTTGGGAGCCAGCGATTTCAGAAAGTAAAGCCATTGGTTGCGTTGGACACCAACTCCTTTTACATTTGAGAATGATTAATTTCACCAGGTGTTTTTCGCATACACAATATTTATAAAGGAAAGTGAAAAATTATCAAAAATAAAGAACATATGAATATTTACGTTGATGCTGCAATTGACACATTGATAATTTTTGTACGGAAGTACGCTTGACCGTTTTGGCATGATGCAATAAGCTCTACAAAATTTATGGACATGAGTAAAGGTATTTAACTTTTAGTATATATTTTATAATTATTTTAGTTGTAAATTAAGTAAAGAAGACCACGGTTTTAGAGTATAAGGACAGTGCTCGATCATGTGGGAGTGGGAATGCACTATAAGAGACACAAGTGGATGAACAGAGCAAGAATACACAGAATTTCATTTAATAGATGGTGAAAAATGAATACCAGAGCTTTGCAGGGCACATCAGTTTGATTCAAATTAAAATAAGAAACGTAATAATTACAATAAAAATTGTAAATTTGACTATCCTTTTTGTTGTTTTTTTTTCACCTAATCACCCAAAGAACTGCACTTGTGGATGTTAATTGATGAATTCTTTATTGATAACCTGAGCACCCCCCTCCCTCAGAAGGGCACCTTCCTAATAGATAATTGTAAAAACTGCCTAAGCAAAGGAGGTTTTCCTAGGTTGGTTTATTAATAATTATATGAATACTGCTGTTAATAATAATAATAATAATAATAATAATGTTTATTATTATTATTATTATTATTATTATTATTATTATTACACTACAAAAATCCAAGAAAGAAAATTAAACTCTCAAAGGAAGACAAAAAATCTAACAAGTAACTCAATAGCAACAGCAAACAAAAGATCTTAAAAATTGTACAAATTTAGCAAGACGTGTTTGGTGACAAGTAGAGTTTTGAGTCAAGCAACAGATATCCAAGCAAAGCAAGGTAAGGCTAGTTCTCCAATTTTCATTACAAAAACACACACACACACAAACACACACACAAACACACACACACACACAAACAAACACACACACACACAAACACAAACACACACACAGAGCAAAGGGGTAACAGCAATTACAATCGTAAGTGTTCTATCCATTTCCAACTTTCGCAAGTTTCCAAAATTTAGAGAGTTCAATGAAAATAAGACCAAAACAATTTTTTAAAGCTACCTTTGCTCTCCCCTTTGGGATAAATTTGGAGCCAAATTTGAGAAAGAAAATTATAAATTCTATTAATTTCAAGCAGAAATTACACAAAAACTACTTACTTTTTCAAAAATTGTATGAAACATTTTCTTAAAGATCTGATTTTATACAACACATTTTGTTGAAGACAAAAATCTTTCTCCAATTTTGTAGTTTTGAAATGTTAACACCACTTTTTACCATACTTGATACATGAAAGCAGAAAATTTAAAAGAAAAAATTCGAATCTATTTTGAGAAAAAAGTTTAGACATTGCCAATATTTCATGTTAAGTGGGCAAAATCAACTCACATTTTCAAAAAATTGTATATGTATACATTCAGATGTCTTTTAAAAACAGATTTCATGAAGGAAATAATCTCTAATCTTTGTTTCATTATTGAGGTTAAAGGAAGGAGCCAAAAAAATTTTCAAAATATTGCGATTTTCAAAAAATCAAGGGTTTTAACAAAAATATATCACTGATTATAATGCTCCATTCTTTTAAGCATCCTTTAAGCTGCCCGACGCTGGCTTTACACTTGCAAAAAAATGGCGAGAAATGTTATTACACAAGAAAGTTGCTAATGTAAACATTGCGGCAATAAATATTTCTTGTGTTGGCAATATTTCTTGCTAAATATTCCAATCGTAATGTAAACTCGTGTTTTCATTCTCGGAACGATATTGCCGGCTGTTGCTAGGACTAGAATTGGAAGTCTGAGCAAGATATTGTTATATCTTGCCCAGATCTTTCTGACAATATATTGCCCTTCCATGCTCTTGCTAGTGCTATAGATGTGTTGTCCATCAATAAATCATACGTAAGTACCAAGAGAATGTGGATTCCAAGTACACAACGTATTACAGGAAGAAAATTACTATATTAAGCATTCAGTATAATATTCATCCACTTTTCCAGGGCCTAAGAATATAAATTTTACTGCTGAAAAATCATTTGTATCTACTGCAGTATTAGAATTCTTTCCCTTGACTGTTTAAATACATAGTGATGTAAAACAGTAAAAAAGTTTTCTAATAAAACTTTCAAAAGTTCATCATCACTTGACGAAATTTTCTTCAATTGAACGAAACTAGAAGATGATTTCTCTAAAATGAAATACTTCAAAATTATTATTCAGCAAAAGCTTCATCAACTTTAAATAAAATCAGGAAATTTTTACAACCGCATAAGAGTATATGCAATCTTTCTTATGCAACTGCATATGTAATCTAACTTAAAAAGAATTTACGGGCTTCATCAAAGTAGTTCAAAGAGTATATGGAACCATTGTTTGTGAGTTTATCTCTTTGACGGTCATTAGACATAGTTAAAAACAAATTGTTAAGCAAATGGAACTTCGTCACAAAAATAAAGGACCTCAAAGCAATTTACTAAAGAACAAGATTTGTAAAAATTTGAAAAAAGAATAGTCAGACTCCTGTTTTTTGCAAAACAAAGGGTAACTTTCCCCTTGGGTCGTGCCACTCCAACAGGAATCACCTTAAAAAGCTGTGGCTTTGTCACACAAAGCACTTCACTAAAAATCAAGATTTGAACAAATAAAAAATAAGGATCAATAGAGACTCCTGTCGTTGCAAACCAAAGAGCAACTTGCCCCCTGAATTGTGCCAACAGGAATCTCCTTAAAACGCTGTGGCCCAGCCTGAAGAGGCTCACCTGAGCAGCGTAGGTGTGAGATGGAACGGCTGCTGTCGGGGCACCATAGCTAGCTGCAGGGGTCAAAGGTGGCCTGTGCTGGGGAAGAGCTGCCGTTGGGGGTGTTGGCTGCGAGACGGGAGGCATCTGATGCACTGCCACAGGACGTTGGCCAGCGCCGGGCACCTGATGGCTTGGAGGCATCGGTATGGGTGGTGGAGGGTTAGGTGTGGTGGTTGCAAAGCCAGGTATGTGATGGGCCATGTCACCTGGAGGCTGGAACACAACCTGTGCCGTAAGGCTCTGTCAGACTGTGCTTCTGAAAGAGCTTCGTGTCACTTTTTGGCTTACTCATATACACTTCTATGTTGCGTTTCAAGCTGGTGTCATGTATAAAATTACATAATTTTAATTTAATCATTGTATTTTTTCTATTTGAAATATATATACATGAAACATTGAAAATACTGCATTACTTTTTCAATACTGGATCAATTTTATTTTATTTTTTTTATTTTTTTTTTTTTTTTTCACACACATTTTTAAGTCTTTTCTTACTGAATGTTACCTGATATTAAAATACTTTTACATCTGATAATGTAAAGCTTAGTTAACCTGAGAATTACAATGGAAATTCAAAAATGAATTTGGAAGTTATACGAGTATGCAAGAAAGTGTATCTGCACTGACAAGCAAAGACAGTGAAACTGCTGATACAGAGATGGGAAATCAGTAAAACTTTCAATTTGTTTTATCATTGCATAGGTGTACCAAGATTGCTTTGTCAGCTACATGTGAAACAGGAATGAACTTTTCTAAGTTAGTATTATGTCAAATGAAAAATTGTAATTTTATATCCTGACTATCTAACTTTTCAAAATACAAAATTTGCATGACACACAAATGTGCTCAAAGCCAATTTTTTAGAAAGAGAAAAAGAAAGAAAGAGAAAAAGATAGCAAGGAATGAAATTTCATTTGTTCGCACACTTCCTCTGTCTTTGTAGCAGTAAGAAAACAGAACATGCAAGTATAATTTTCTACAGAAGAAATCTAGCAGGAATTATAAATACAGGAGGGCAATAATAATGAATTGCATATAAGGTATTGATTTTAAAAAATGAATTACAAACGTGTATTCAAAGAGCAAAAAAGATAGGCACCATTCAAAAAATAAGTTTGCATTATTTAGCCTTGAGAGTTTTTGTTGTTGTTGTTGTTCGTTGTTTGTTCCCCAATTCATGAATTGCTTTTGCTGCCAATAGCCCCTAGTTTTAGAAAATCACTAATTCCAAGATTAAATTATTTATGTGATATGCTGATCATCAAGTTACACCAAGTTTTGAACGTGTATTCAAACAACCACCATTCAAAAATAATAATGGTAACTTGACAAGGTTTTCAATTATTAAGCCTATTTTACACCATTCTTTTTTCTTAATCTTTCTGTTCAGGAAATGTATTGAAAAGGAAAATTGGTTTTTATGTGGTATTGTTTCAGTATCAAAAATGAAGGAACAAGAATAGCATTTTACACATCTACTCTTAATACTACTTCCAATATTTCCTTCAGATATTGCAAAAACTGTTGAAGATGAAACAGTTAAACATCACATCTACGATAGCTTAGGTCTGAGCATGGAACAAGATAACATTAGAACCAAGTATGCGAGACAATTTTACTTCACAATACAATTTAACACATTATATGTTCTCAAACTGAACATAAGGAACACAGTTGACCACACACTTAGTAACCAAGAAAAATATCCAGAAAGACACCAGGAGTGCAGTCGTCAAATACAATGCAATCTATACAAAAAAAGATGCATGCTTCATTTTTCTTGAGATTGCATCCAGTCTAGTGTGTCACTTTATACCATTAAAAACGGGTTTTAAAAAAAATGAATGCGTAAAATGGGCTTTACATGCACAATAAAAGAATAATATTAGTGTATATTGCCAATTTTTGTTACTGGTTACCTTTGAACATACCAAATTAACACAAATATCACGGGAATGTTCCTTTTTGAACAATCCCCTACCCATCCATCATTGTTCTCTGTTGTGGGAGGATCCCTTCCATCCCAAACTGCACAAAATATTATTAATGTCCCTTTGGGACATGAAAATGAATTTTTTGGGTCATGGGGATATCATATCATACACGTCACATTGGGACATCACATTGAAGCAGTAAATTGATCGAGCTTTCAATTAAAAGGCAGCAGAACCATTTTAAAATGTTCAAGGCTTGCATTTTTATGAATATGTGAGGAAAAACATTAAAAAGGAAAAAGCAGCAAAACAAGCAATTTGGTACCTACATTAAATGTTTAGTTCTAGAAAAATTCCAGCTATATATTTTCTTCAGTATAGGATTCTTTAGTGAGCAACACAGAGCTGCAAAATTTGAAATTCACTGATCTGAATCAGCACAAATTTCCTGTACACAGCCTTTTATTATCACTCTTTGAAACTACTTTTAGCCACAAAACAACATTTAAGGCTAGTAAAGAGATTGTGCAAGTAACAGATTGAGAAGTAAATGCAAATTCACATTTTTGGGGCCCTATCTCAAATCCTGATGGGAGGATTTGTCGAAAGTGGCAACAAACATAAATGAAATTTTTATGCTTGCAAAGACTTCAGTATGGAGTTTGAACTGCGGTAGGCTTCCATGACATTAGTTTGAAATATACAGGGTAAGTAATGTAACTTTACCACCTATAACATTTGAAAGGTTAAAGTTATTGCAATGCAGTTTTTACACAAATGCATGGGGGAATGGGGCTAAATGATATGTGAATTCATTTCCATTTTATCACTTGTCTTTAACGAGATATTTGAGGTACCTTTTTTTCCTATACATATTTTTTTAGTCTATCATGACAAGTGTAAAATGACGAATCCAATGATATAAATAGACATTATAGATAAGCATTTTTTGAGTAAATTTGTGTTTCATGGATATTTTGATTGTTACAGTTCGCCACACTAGGCCACGCAGCGCACCTCCCTGCTAGCACATGCTCGGGGAAGGGAAGGGATTTCAGTATTTAAAGAAATGAAACATATCCCAAATATTCACAAAACAGTTGCAGTGTGGTAAGTATCAAGATCCCATTAATATCCTGAGGTATGACACACGTTTAAATGAAGATGAAATAACAATCTTATTTCAATACATAATACATATGACAAATCCATATTTTCCAACCTTCAGTAATACAAAAAACATGAAAATGCAAAAGGAGGGAAAGTAGAGTTCAGAAAAATAAACTGCAACAGCTCTGAATATTTTGAGTATGTTTCGCATCATCAAAGACTAAGAGCCCTTCCCTCCCTCAAGCACACGCTAGCAGGTGGAGTGCTATGTGACCTTGTATGGCAGACTTATATTCAAAATATCTAATAAACCTTAGTCACAAAAAATCAAAATTATTGAAATAATGCTAATCTAACATATAATAATATGTATATCATTGTATTTGTCTTTTTTTACTGCTTATGACACCAAGAAATATATATACTTCCATTAGAAAAATAAAGTTACCTCAAATATCTCATAAAATACATGTGATAAAATAGAAATGAATACATGCATCAATTAGCCCCATTCTCACAAGCCCTTGCAATGCAATAACTTAAACAGTTCAAAAGTTACAGGAGATGCTAAGGTACGTGACTCACACTGTATAGAAATGCTACAGTATTATTTCTGTCATTGGATTGGCTGGATCATAGTTTGGCATTCTCTTACAATATCTACGGGAAAAAATGGGTAATTGCTGGGGACGACCTAAGACACTGGAAAGACACCTTTATTACTGACTTCCTAATAAAATAAAAGGAACATTAATGAAACTAAGTAATTGTTATAAATAATTTGTTAACAATTACTAATACATCTATCAGAATGCAAAAGAAAGAAATTACTTTAACATGCAACTGTGAAACAAGGCAATGCCATACCTTAGGTTGTACAGCAGCAGTAGATACTGCTACAAAGTTCTGGTTTGTGAATGTCTGACTGGGAATGGGTGGAACTGCAACAGGATTGGATGGTGGGGGAGTAGGCACAACATGCTGTGCAGCAGTTGGGCCTGGTGTCCCAGAGAGCATGACAGACAAGTCTGGAGAATCAAGTTCCGAGTCCTAATGAAAAACAAAGACGGAAGAATATTAGTCTGAATTCAATAAGCATGAACACACAAAACTGAAGGAACACTAACAAAAATATCCTGACCATTGGGTTATCACTTGCAATGAAAATGGAAAAAGCGAGTTTACAGTTTGTGTTACCTTCCGAGCACTATCAGCATCTTTCTAATCATACTGAACAAATCAACTCACAGGACCTAATTTTTTCACATTTGAAGCTATGGAATACTTATTTGTTTCAAAGGAAACAAGCTCAACATTTGAACAAAAAGGAAATATTTACAGCAAGAATTGTATACCACTGTGGTTTAGTCATCTTACCAGTATAATTAATTAAAGAGATTACACATTTCAAAAACTTTGTCACGTACACATTACAGAAAATATACAAAGTATATTTTATAAAATACATCAGATATATATATAAAAAAATTAATGAATATATGAAGTTTAAGAACTACTCTCCGAATAATTATTATGGATGACTTTCTGAAGACCTTTTTCTTTCCATTTCAACATTTACTCTAAATTACCTGCAGAAAATTGAAATTTCCTGTCCCAATGACTTCATTCAATGGTCTGCTCTGAGGAAGGGTTGGCTGAGCCGGGACAAACGCAGGAGCAGCAGTGCTGAAAAAGGAACTCTCCACTGCCTGGACAGGAGTTGGCACAGGCGCCATGGGTGGGGGTTGCACGAGCTGCTGTGTTGCCTGAGGAGGTGCATTCAAAACAGGAGGCTGCGAGACGGGAGCCAGCACTCCCTGAGGGCCTGCTGGAGGGCCAGGCTGTGATGGAACCACAGGAGCTCCAGGGCCTGTAAAGCAACAATTCATTTGTTTCACACTCTCTGGCCTACCCCATCTGCCCCTTCCTTTGTGACACATGTCACTTAGCTCTATCACTTGCTAAACTATGATGGAAAATTAGGGCCCAGATAATTATATACTAAAAATTGGGAAAATATGAACATTTATATGAATTATAATATACAGAAATATGTTCAAAAAGTAAGAAATATGTCTTATTAATTCAATTCTTTTTTTATTAAAATACATTTATCTTAGGGTATATTGTTCTGTTTCATAACAAAGACCAAAATTAAACAATATACTTTCCCTAGTCCTATTATTTACAATTTCCGTAACAATAAGAAATTAATATGTTTCAGATTTTCAGCAATGAAATTTTTTCTATAATCTTGCACTAACTAAAAGAGTCATGTACATCGCATGAGTCACTTGTGCATATTTAAACTTGCACAGATCCCCTGACATGTGGACAATATCTAGTGTAACGAAACTGTCCCCTCATTGCATTGCACTAATAGCACAAATTGTTTCAAATCCAGGGTTTTCTCCAGAACAGAAGACCTCTTTTTCTTTACTAGATCCCCTATTGATCTGCAAATGGTAAATGGACAGTTCTTGTACAAGCGACTGCTGATTGGGCAATTTCAAGGCTGTCGGAATGTTTCAAGGAAGACTTATCCAATGATTTAATTGTAGTTCTTGCTGAAAAATAATTTTTCACCTTTTCAGCATCACACAATTGTTTAGATCAGCCTATAGATGCTACAGTATCAGAATCAAATTTTTGTATAACTAGTATGTATAAAATCAACATTTTCAGCATTGAAGCTCATATAATTAGCCAGTGCTCCATCTTGTTCATCCTTTATGTACTAGAAATAAAATATTCAACTTTATCAACCTGAGATCTAATCAGCTCTACAATGCAATGAATGCACAGGATAGTGGAAATTTTGCATACACCTGCCGGGCTTCTGCCCCCTTGCTAATGTACGGTGCTGCTTGAATACCTGCAGAAGACATTTCTGCATTTAACTCCATGACAACACAAAAATACCATTGTATTAATAACACTTTTGCAATAGTTTGGTAGTTTCATTTGGATAACACTTCACAAGTTAACAAGAGACTTGCCCTTTTGAACTCAAATAATTTACGCACAATGTTAGCTTCCAAAACTTTTTCCTATGAAATTTTCAAAATGATTGGTAAATTAAAATGAGAATTGGGGAAATGAAAAATGTGAGCAGTGCTTCCTGACCTGGACGAATAATTTCTGGTGAAGTGTATCAAATTCAAGGGAGACCCCTCAGAGATGCAAAGTGGGTGTACGATATTGCTGACTAAACATATCATTTTCACGAATCTAATTTCCTTTGAATTTTCTGTGATACTCAAACTATAAACCAACACACCAGAACCAGGAAATGCATCATTGATTTGCCCTCTTATTTGCAATAACATCTGTATTTATGGACAGACTCAGTCCAATGCGAAGCAATAGTGACAGGCAATTTAAGAGGCTACAGAAAAAAAATGTTTGACAAACCTGAAGCGTTTGTCTGGGAGATACCTTATCAAAAACATACAATAAAGTGAAAAAATTCGACAACAAAATTTCAGAAAAAATTCATAAGTAAAAATATGTTCTTTTGTGTAAAATATGTAAATATACGTACTTTCGGGCAAACTATGTTCTGAAAAGTAAGCGTTTTTGGCACTAATCGAATTGAAATGTGAAGATATCATTGATTCGACCTGAGAGTTACATTAGGCAAATATGGCATTACATAATTATCCAGGCCTTACTAATAACAGTAACCACTGTTGTGTTGTTGTAGCCACTGTTTTTAAACTGATACTCAAATCCAGAACAAAAATACATGAAACAAACAAGGAACCATGTTAGTTACAGCGTTTATAACTCAAAAACAGCTGGACCAATTTTAATTACCTCTGATTTGTTGGATTAATCTCCACACAGAATAGCTGAATAACTATAAAAATATCAGAAAAATTCACTAGATGATAGCAGTACTTGCTTTGCTTGTTCTAAAGCTTTGCCAGTATATGCAATAGTTAAAAAGAGTTTTGTACTAACAGGGGGTTGATTAATGCATAAGCCATGCTTAGAGCACACAATAATTTGTAAAATACACATTTTAATTAATTGGAAAGGTTTCAAAATGTTTTAAATGCACAGGTCATGGTTTACAGAGAAGCCTCTTTCACAATTTTTAAGGATACCAGAAAAATGGTGTGAATTTTAGGAAAGTGTAGATGATTGGAAGTTACTTTTGCTGGTATAATACAATAAAGTATGTTAATTCTTTCCCGGCAACGCATGCTGGTGGACCGAGAGACCTGGGAAGTCTTTACTCTAATATTGCATTTGGCGGCTCCTGACCACTGCTTCCAGGTATCTTCTCCTTCAACAGATGGGAACCACATCTCTCCCGAGAAAGCGGGTATAGTTAACCTTTCTAGTGGTGAAACACTTCAAAATGTTACACGGGCCTCAGAGACAACCTACCCGTCCTCATGAAACAGCTTTCATTCAGTACTTTACGTGACATTACCAAAAGTATGTGCCAAATATGCAAAAAGTTAATTTGTTTGGAGCATTCACCAACTGTTTGTGAAACATAGAACAAAGAAAAGTTGTCATATACGTAAAATATATCAAATATAATGCAAATAATATTTCATTTTTTCAGTATTGTTAATTTACATACAATCTACTAAATACCGTAACTAATTATTTTAAAATAAAAATAATTTTAAAAAATAATATCCATCTTTTTCTGATATATTCTTTTGATTGAAATTATGAGGGGAAATTTATTTAAGGGAACTGGAAGCAGACTGGTCTGAAGACCAGATGCATGCACTGACAACAGAAAGAGGCATGTATGCTGCCGGTTTAATACTACTACTAATCATTGAACTACTTAGGCCTCTCACTTTTAAAAATGCACTTACACTACTATCTTGAAATATTTTTTCTAGAACACACACACTAACAAACTATTTTCTCATCAAATTAACACCAACCTTTTTTCTAAACTGTACACAAAAAAATCTTCATTCAATCAAGGAAAAATAGTTGAATATAAGTAAGCATACTTGGGAGACAAAGAAAAATTGCAAGGAACTAATGGAATTCACTCTCGCAACATCTATGATCGTTGTCTGATGAAGAAACAACGCAAATAAGATAATTGTTCACAAAAAGTTGAATCACTAGTTGGTGCAGAATTACTAGAGAACAGAATTTGTTGTAATAAATAAATAAAAAAGTAAAATGTATATACAACTGTATTTTTTTTTTTACAAAACCTAGGAAAAAATAAAAATGTGTAAAGAAAATATTCAATAGCATTTAAAATTGCCCTATATAAGCATTTTTAAATTTCTGAGCCCAAAATGTCACCACTCAGACCAAAAAATGTATTTGTAGACGCTAACAGAAAGTTCTCCTCAAAATTCAACATATAGTATACATACACAGTATAGAATTATCTACGAGGAGCTGGTGCACAAATGAAGCAATACAGGCAGCTAGTGATGGATCCCAGAGTGAGCGAGTAAGTGTGTGTGTGTGGGGGGTTGCAAGTATGAAGTAAAAGGTAAAGAGAATATGTAAAAAGCATTGTCAGATTTGGATTGAATTATGTACAGCCTCATGGAAATTTTTAGAAAAAAACATTTTCATAAATCATGGAATCATTAACAAGTGCCTAGTAGGAATAATTTCAGCTTCACCAACATTCATGCATCCTCAATACAGAGTACATTGTTTACAAAAAGTGCGAGCGGGGGAGGAAGAGGGTCACATATTACATTGCTTTCCGTTTCGATTTATATTTATGAATTTACAGACTTCCATCGAAGATACAAATATAAGAATAAAGAAATATGTTAAAATGTAAGAAGCCACAAAGAATTAGTCAGGAGGGAAAGTGTAGAGGAAATTTTAATTTTGAAAGTGTAAAAGCGGGGACAATTTTACATGAACATGGAATTAAAGGAAATGGTAAAATATGCATAGATGATTGTGAACTTAAATTCCAGGAATCTAAAAGTGGGGTTTTACTATATTTTAATTTTCATTACATATGCTCCTTATCACATAACAGTTTGGTCATGCTTAGGGCTTTGTACTAACCTAGCCCTGTTTGTTAGTGTAACAAGCAACTAACCTTCGTTATATTATTTCAGATATTCTGATTTTCTGTAAGGCACAGTTATCATTGAATTGTGCTCTTAACATTGAAAAATTCAATGTCACTAACCCTGAGGGTATGGCTGAGGTTCTGATGGCAATACTGTTTGAGACTCGACCAAGAAATTCTCCTCCTCTTCGCCCAATTCCTCAGATCCTACAGCAGCGACAACAGTAGCAGCAACAATGGGAACAGCAACTACTGCTGCTGATGCAGTGGCAGCAGCAACAGGAGGAGAAGGGACAGCAGTACCAGCTGCGCTAGGGGCAACCTGCACACAAAAGCACTCCTGAAAAAACTAACCTACTCTACCACAAAAATAGAATGTTTACTCGATATAGCAACACCCCATTCTTCAAGTATTTTATTACATAGTAAAATCTCATCATCTGCACAATATCACTCAAACACTGAATGTTTCATTATTTGGCAGCAAAAATTCATTGAAATTATTTACATCAGTTTAGATTATATAATCTAATTCTTCGATACATTTTACTTCTTTATATCTGAACTTTCAAAAAAGTTTCTGCCATTGCTGGAAAAATTGAACAATTTCTCAAAATTCTACATTAAAAATTCTTATGATTTTGAATGACATTTCATAAACCATATCTTATTTCAAATCTTAGTAATACAAATTATGGCAAATAAGGATTTTATGTACATGAACATTTGGTTAATGTGCCAATACGATTTGCACACACTAAAGATGCTGAGTGGTATTCCCATAACGTTTCGACAAATTACAATCCACAGTTAATGCTAATCCCAAGAGAACAAAGTAACTGGTATTTACTAGGCTGTCCGGGTGCTGACACCATGGACAGCCTAGTAAATACAGGCACCAGCCACAGATGCCTAAGCTCTCAAAATAATCGGTGTTCATGTGATAAATATTCATGACTCCCTTTGTCATATGTATCAGTGTCCTCAAAATGACCCACACTTTATTAGGGTTTCAGCATATTTAAAGTTATGAGAGAGAGAGCGCTAATGAGGGTTCACTTGTGCTAAAATTTCCCACAACCCAAAATTCAAATTAAATATTTTTAAACAGGCAAAAGGGTACAAGCTTATGCCTTTTGTATTAAGAGTTTAAAAAGAAACTACTCTCCCAGTACAAATCAAAGTGTCATAAAATGGGAAATTAACACAAAGGACATAAGGAGATGACTTCAATGGGTTCAAAACAACTTTTCAACAGAAATGCTTATACTAACAAATTAAATTCAATAAGTTATAGAAACACAAACTCTATGAAAAAAAATTTCAGTAAATTATAGCTTTGAAAAAGAAAAGGAAAAAATTAATTAAAGACATTTTCAAAGTTCATTATCAAAACCTTGTAATACATCAAAAGATTTGCAAAATCAGTTCAGATAATTGTACAAAAATAGAACAACAAAAAGGCCCAGATGATTCAGTTAAGCATTCTACATGCAAGAAGAATTCGCCATTATTACTCCGCCATCACCTCATCTACAGCTTCTTCTGCAGCCTCCTCCACATTCTGATCGAAGTACCCACAACCATGGATGGACTGCACTAATTCCTTCAACTTGCTGTATGTTGTGCCCACTACATCTTTTGGCTTGCCATCCACAATAGAAAGCAAATGTTCAGCAGACGTTTGTACTTGATCCTGAAAGCAGGCCATTTATTTTAAATCAATTGTACTTAACACTTACCATTTCTTTGAATTCATAAACCAATCATAAGCAGAATGTCAAGGGAAAAAAATAAAACTAAGGTACATTAATAATGATGACTCAAACTACATAACTTGCAATTTGGGTTTGATACCATTATTTCTTCTGAAAAATATCTGATTTAGCCCAAGAACAACCCTGATATTGTATGTAAATGTTTAAGTTTAAAGGTCATACATAAGTCAGCAAAACCTAATAAGAGTAACTTATTTAAAGTTTAAAATCCTAGTAACATAACAAATAAAGACAGTCATTGATTGATTTGATTCCTTGTTAGCAGTTTCTATCTTAAAATTGCAGTCTCATACTTCAGAATCTCCCACAGAAAAATGCTGAGTTGGAACTTTTTCTTCTCACTTTCAACTCTTCCTCAAAAAGCCTAACATATTTCTTGACACCTTCACTATCCGTACTACCTACATTTCTTAAAAACTAAAAAAAAATTCCTGAATTCCTTGAACATTTGGGGTATGGGATTACCAACATTTTCAGTTTCCCATTGGACAAAAACTTCTTTAAGGAAAACCAAGAAGTCCTTTCACAAAAATGCTTAAAAACCTTCAATAATTCAGTTTCAAATGTTTCCTATTGTAGAGCAGATTTCCCCCTTTCCAATAAATGCTTTTCTACAGTATTTTGAAAGAAGTGTTTTTATTCAAATTCCAACTACAAAATTAACGATTCACTGAAATATCTTCATTTTTAATTTTGTAACAACATATCCGAACTGACACTGAATACACTAATGAATTCTCTATAACTTTTTCTTCAAAATTTACCAAAATTTGAAGGCGATTTCAATATAAACCACAATAATAACTCGAGGACACTAAAACAAAAGTTGCCTAAATGCCATGTTAAAAGCGTTTGCAAGCCTCCAGGTAATTTTGCCACAACTCATTTGTTAAACATAACAGACATTTAGAACGAACTATTGAGGAACAAAAATATATTTACACTATGAAATCCATTCTTTCTTACAAAGCAACTAACATGCTTGAAAATTATGCTTGAGTACCCACTTCAAATACATGCCAACAAAAGTGGTCTAACAAATTTGAGGATTGCTGAAATGTTTGTACCACATCATTCAAAATAATGAAGACAGTTTTATACAACTTTCACACAAAAGGAAGTTTCTTGGTGCACTGAAAACTGACAGATTTTAGTAGTGTTGTATATTTCTTTGTCAAAACAAAATTTTCTGTCAAAAGTTTGCTGCTATTTCACACAGCAATACATAACTTTCTCTGTACTGCAATAGTGAGAAATTAAAAAAATACATTTGACATAAATTGTATTTTTTCCATGGTTTCAGATCCATGACTGCAATGAACTAAATTGAAGGAAACATTTAGGTTCTGAAGGTATTACTAACCGCAAATGGGGGTAGTCCTTCTTCATTGCCTCGTTTGGGAAATACTTCTACATAAATGTCATCCAAATATTTGAGATCCTCTTCTGTGAGTTGTGCAGCTCCATTGCGACCTTGCAGAAAGTCTTCACGGGCTGATTCAGTTCCAATGTTCTGTAATACATCCTACAAAACCAAAAATTTTATGTTGCTTGTAAAGAATCACAAAAATTCTCTTAAGACCGAAAACTATTATGACTTTATTCAATATACCATGAGTGTGTGCATAGCAAAACCATCAACATTCAAAAACTTAGTTCTGAACACTTGGTAACTTGGAAGTGTGTAATACTTAGGTTTACATCTAGTTTTAAACATTACTCAGCAGTTGGATGACAAAAAGGAAAGATTTCAAGGTATTAGAAATACACTATTACAGGTTACTGATAACTAAAAGCGGAAAACCAAATGCTGGGTTAAAAAACAAACCAGACAACTTTCCTTAAGTTATCTTTGATTACATTGGTCTAACAGCTTGACAGACTCATTAAATGAAACAACAACAAAACTAAAATAAGCTATATTTTTAAAACAGATTTCAAGCAAATAAGATTCAAAACTTAGCACATTACAATCATAGGCTTTCATGGCCGGAGTCATTTTCTCTTATATTAGCACACTAGGTTTAACACACTGCTCCAAGTGGCAGAATTAAGCAAGCAAAGTGTGTACAAATTATGTCTATTTTTATGTCATTTTTGTATCACCAGCATACCTAGGTCAACACTTATGCAGGAAGAAAAGACTCAGACTTGTAGCAAAGCAAACAAGGAAAGAAAGTCAGAGGTTTTGCAGTATAGTGCGAAGGACATGTCAGTAGAGGTAAGTCATCATGTTTGCTAGGATTTAAAATAAATACAAAGAATTATTCTGTAACAAGTAGTTATTTATAAAGGGAGAGGAAGGTTATTTTGAGGAAAGTCCAGTTACTTTCTATTTGTTCAAACATTCCACTTACTAAACCATACAGTTTGGAACAAAATAGCATGATACACAGAATTTTACATGACTATTAGCTAAACTAGAAACACTCTGTAACTGAATGTATGTAAAACTATCACACAAACTCAATTTACTACTGGAGTTCTGGTTTTAACTGAACAATTGACAACCGCACAATATATTTTCAACCAAACATTTCACATGAATACTAAGATAACACTGTCAATCACTATGAACAAATATCCAAAACACTTGCAAATTTGTTTAAGAACAAAGAAATGCTGTTTTATGAGGATCACATCTTATGACCACACAAAATAATTTGGTTGATCTTAACAAAAACACACAGTATGTTGCAACTCTCCACAAAACTCAAATGGAATAACCAAAGTTATAATAAAGTTCTGCCAATTATTATCTGATATCATTAACAAAAATTCATTTGTATCATGCCTATGTGTAGTTTAGCATCTGTAGTTTCAAAACCCAAAATGGCTTCCAGAGTTTAGTTTCCAAATGCTTCCTTAATACTTTAACACGAATCTAACTTTGTGGGCAAACACGTAAGGACAATAATAGGGGGTTTAAAAACATTCAATGTTCATATCTTTTAGCATTGAAAGAACAAACAATTATCAGAAACTAGTAAAAGTTCCAATTCCTACAAAAGATGCCTCATTACATGAAAAACCTTCCATGCCTTTGCAATACCTGAATAAGAAGAATTTCCTTGATTTTAGCGAGTTCTTGCTGAGTCCTTTCCTGAGCTTCTTTTCTTGCCTGCTTCTTCTGTTGTTTGGCAGCATCCAGGGAAATGCCATTGAACTGCTTGCTTAAGTCTCGGGCAAAATCAAGGGTCAAAATAACTTCATCAAACTTTGACACGGCATTTAACTGATCGGCATTTAATTCTTTTCCATTCTTCTGCTCTTCACGGTACGACTCTATTTTCCTCTACAAAAAAGATCATCATGTACCATTTCATGTAAATAGTTTATTAAGCACATTTTTAATAGTTCGGGTCAATAAACTGTACAAAACATGCAAGTAAAATACAAAGAAGTACGTAAAACTTTATTTTATCATACTATGGGATTTACTTCCTGAAATCACAAAGAATGAAAACTTAGGGTTAATCGCATATCGGTTTCAACGGCCATGATTTCCAATGGCAAACAATGAAGTTAGGCCACGCAATCGAATAGTTTCCCAAATGCAAGGATTTACTAAACGTACATAATTATATAATTAATCAGAAAAAACAGGAGATTTTTTGATATGCTCCACGAAAACAATATTAATAACTGTAAAGCACATGGTAAAATCCGACATGGCGGCTCATCGAGGATCGAAATGTCAGTTACCTACAACACGTAATACGTTATACAAATATTACATTTTGCTACTTTAAACGTACCTTCCTCTTCTCCAAATTCCTTATTTTGTGTTCAATAATAACAATAGCCTGTTTAATTGGATCAACAGCCTCCGTAGAGGCCTGTTTTTCTAGTTTGGCTGCAGCTGCAGAAGGCATCCTTCACCTGGGCAACAACTCGAATAAGTGGTAGAGTAGTTACTTACACCCTCCGGTAGAGCACAGTCGAAGTCAGTACGATTCTGCGAACAAAGGCTGAACGTTGTGCGTATCTGTACCTATCCACCAGACAGCGCTAGTTTGTTCACCGTGTACCAACAAAACCAAAATTTTGTACCGATAAAAAGAAACACATACATAACAATACTCTTGCCATATTTCTCGTAATTAAGTACCTTACTTTACCTTTCACGTGCGTTTTGTGAAAAATAATCATTGATTTGTAAACATAAAATCCTGTTTGAATCAGTGCAAACGCCAACAGTTAAGGACCTCTCATATATAAAAATAATTACATCGAATTTGCTCTCGTTTAATTGGTACAATATATGATTACGTTAAGAAGATGCCCTCTTGCATTAACTTTTAACGAAATAATTTTCAGATCAAAAATCACATATCTAAATATAAATTGTTTAAATACTTCGAAGCTTTATAAAATGAATTACGGTTCACAGACTTACCACGAAGAGATTAACCCTAAAAAGGATATATGAAATACACTTAAGCATACATGGTAACCGTGACTAATCCTTTCCAAAAACTACTTGTCAACAAAACAAAACATTAAATAAACTATAAAATATTTTCAATTATTTATTGATCATTTCTCATCATTTGGCACATAAAATAAAAAGTGTCTTTGAGATGTTCAGAATACAGGTTGATTATAGAACCACCTTCCTTTCCTCTAAATCTTATATAACTTACCTATTGCACTAACAAAAACAGTTTTTGTTTTACGATCCTTTTTTTCTGATACATAAGATACATCTCGACTGCTTTGCAAGGTTTGGTGAGGATGTTACGCGTTGTTCTCAAAGAATCCCATCTGTTCATCTTCATGTTCTAGAGAGTTTAGAATGTAATTTTAAAGATTTTTGCCGTTTTTGGAATGACGTCTTTCAATGTGCTGTAGAGTCAAATATAGTCCTAATTCCATAAGATAATTTATTCTTTTAGACATTTGGAATAAAAAAAAGAGAAGCCAGTTAGAGCACCCTCAAAGAAGAACCGTAGCAATCATCTAGATTTTTCTTGCAACTTTCGACGCCTCCTTATGTAGTTATAAAACATTATAAACTTGTTTGTTGTAGCAAACAGTGTTTGTTGTAGCATATAGTGTTTTTGTGGAAAGCATCATTGATAAAAGCAATATTTTTTTCCCCTTTCGAACTGTAAGACAGTAATTCCATTTGTCTCTGAAAAGCGAATTGAGATGACATCTCTTTCGCTTTATAAGGAAACAACCGAGGAAGAATTTGCCCTTTAATGTCTGCGTGTGCTCAGTTGACAATTGTCAGTTTATAATTCTTTAGCAATTTTTTCTGCCAATAGTATTGGCATGAACCAATTGCCCATAGTAATATTTCTATTTATTTAGTGAATCGATTCTTTGAGTTTCTTCCACGATGTAAGAAATATCTTGCACCGTGGATTCTTCATATACTGTATTGATAATGGTTCTGTTGTGTCTCTCGATTCTTCTCCTGTATAAGGAATGACACTGATCATGTAATAGGTTCTAACATAGTACACATTGTAACTATTTTACATTGCACCCAAAAGCGTAACGAATTAAGGGCGAATCTGCCCGCAAAACTTCTACCCGGGCCTGCTTTATTCAAATGTGTAGCAAATACAAGTGATGTTAGTACATCAAATAATAAATATATCCCAAAAAAACCCTTTTACCCGGGCCCGCCCGCATTGCGGGCCCGAACGTTACGCCACTGATCTGTCAGACTTTGAACACAAAACAAACCAGAGAGTTTAGTCTTCCCGAAAATTGAATAAGTAGGCTACCTACTATTAGTTGCTCGTCTACTGTACAAAATTTTTGTGCGTGTAGCTAGAAGTGCGATTTGAAACGAAACATGTCCAAAGTCACAAATTAGGGCAAACTTTATCATATCCATTTCTCAAAGTTTTGTCGTCAAAGCGCAAGCAATTTACTAAAAATTTGAATCTAGTTTCACTCATGATACACCGGTAAATGCACGATCCTGTTTTATGTAACAGCTCCCATCTTTGCGGGATCCAGTGATGTACAACCAACCAACAAGAGCCAAAATTTTGACGAGTCCGTAGTATCATATAGTACCTGCATCTGCATTGTTTTCAGATGCTTCGTTACGTTTTCTGGTGCAGTGGCGGATCCAGGGAAGAATGGGGGCCATGCCCCCTCCCCCCAAAAAGGCCTAGTTTTCGTTTGGTACAGTCTTTTATTTGACAAAATTGATATAAATATTCATGTTCGAATTAAGTAATTATTTAAAAAATAATATCGGGCCCTGGTGCAGAAAGTGCAATTGAGACCCATCATTGCTATAGCCATATTTATTGGGAGTCGGCAAGCGTCCTCATTTGGGGCCACGAACTTTTGTTCCCCCTCCCCCCGCACATTTTTTGAGAAGGCGGGAGGTAGGCCGCGCGCACATGCAGTACCATCTACCTACGCTCTTGGTAGTTTTCTCTGTCTTTCTTTATTTTTTGGTTTGGTTAATTCCGATATCATTGAATAAAAAGTTTCCTGCTCCAGTTCTGAAGGAACACTTTTTGCGGCTCCTTTTCCACCAGGAACTCTAAGAAAAATATTTCTTTGTGCAGTTCGAGATTGTCTTGGCTCACTTAAACTCCAAACGAAACCACTTAACCTCTTTTGTGACATCAAGGGAAGAAGGTAATACATACAAAAGCGAATCCGGAGGGGGGGGGGGCAAGGGGGCCATGCCCCTCCTCAAAAGGCCTAGAGTTTTTGTTTACCTGCCTTTCTTTGGTAAAATTGATTTAAATATTTGTTAATGTTAGGATAATGTAATTATTTAAAAATGATATTGCACAGTATCATATGCACATACACTACAAAAATAATATATAATGTGATTTCAAATGTTTATTATTTAACAAATATCTATCTATAATGGACCACATCCAAAATGATCAGCTGGATCCACCACTGTGTGATGATGTGTCATCGTCAGGGAGCTCACCCTCTGATCTTACACTGTTGTTTTCACTTTGTACAGTCGTCGCATTTGGTAAAATCCCTTTCACTACCTTCGCCATTGGTTTCACTAATCCACTGATCGATGTGGCCCTCAAATTTAGACGCATTCACATTTCTGTTTCATGAAGCCATTATAAAAGTCATAACGTAAACAATATACTAGGGTTACTAACCATACCCAACGATTTGTATGAATGGGCAGATCCAGAAATTGTATGAGGGGAAAGGGCAATTACATTTTTTCCCCGACAAGATTATAACTTAATGGTTTATTGTAAAATTAAAAACAGATGATTTTAGTTAAATAAAATACATAAAATATATGCAAAATTTACATCAATTTTAAAGTATATGACATAAATAAATCCAAATTTTGCATAAATTATGTTTAAATCTATTTATCTGGAGTTGGACAGTAAAGTAAATTGAAATAAAATGATAACATAAAATAAAAATAAAGACATATTCACAATTGATTTTTAGTTTCATTTAATGTTCTGCCAGAAAGATAAATTTACCACTATTTTGTTTTCTTTCTACAGTCAAATGAAATCATGAAACATATAAATTCCGAACTACAAAAACTAAGCAGGTGGGGGGGGGGCATCACCCCCTCTCATCCCCCACCCATGTTTGTATGAACATGTCTGTGTGAACAACTGAAACTATTTAAGAAACTATAAGCAACCTCCTCATTGTTTAAGTATACACCACATTTCATGTTTATCAATTACCATGTAACATTTTGAAAGCTTTACATTGTTGGAGAGTATGTGACAAGTAACCCTAGTATGCGTTCTATAACTGATAAGAAGAAAGAGCTTTATGTAGATGGACTGACCACAAGTATGTAAACTTATCTACTTGCGCAACTTATAGATATATAATTGCAGAATCCAGAGATTGGTTTCATGCCCTTATTGCGGAAAAGGAATATTTCAAACAGCGCATTGAATTTCAGTATTAAATTACCTATTTGAAGAAAGGTATGTTTTGTTTGCTAAAATTGTATCAGAATAAACAACCTATTTGACATTTTCCCTAGAATAGATAGAATTTAGATAATTATCATGATACTTATAGCATTAATCAATAGAAACAGGCTGCAAAGCCTAATTTCTGGTTAGTTCATGATGATGATGAAAATAATTGTTAATTATTATTAATATTACATGGTCATATTTATACCAATTAATTGATATTTCATTGCAATTTAATAAGATAAGTTGAAAAATTTGTGTTGTATTGTATAATAAAATATGTGTTGTGAAGTATCAAGAGATGAAGATTGGAAATAAAGGTCAGTTAATTTGTACATGAGGGATAAAAACTTGGATTCATTGATCACATCTGCCATATCCTTTTTATTCATAGTAATCTGTGTCATTGTCAATGCTAATTTTCTCAATTCATACATATCATCAAAATATTATCTACATAGTATATTCTCAAGGCACTTGCATGCAATAAAATATAAAACGTATTAGCTTTAAATTTTGTGATTGATGTCGCCTTTGAATGTAAACTTTAAATATGTACATAAGATAAAGATTGTCAAGTATCTTCATTACAATAACATCTGTGATATACTTCCTTATCACTTCCTGGGAAGAATAGGATTAACCTCTTGTCAAACATAAAAACAGTTAAAATTGGACATTAAATCCTATACTTGAATTAATATTATAAAACCACTTGCACTTTGCTCACAATTAAAACCACGCAATTCATTTAGGAAACAAAAATACTTTCAATCAGGGTTGACTTCTAGACCTAGGGTTCCCAGCCAATCAAAATTTTTAGGCCCCTTCTTATTAATAGGCTCCGAGACTGAATTTGTTTTCCTTCGATACATGAGCGTGTTGATGCAAGAGACCAGATCCCTCTGCATATTTTGCCAGGTCTCCAAACGTCTGGTGGAAGCAATATTATTATTATTATTTGTTATATCATTTTTTATAATTTTCACTTATTTATAATGACTATTCCAGTATTCCAAATATTTTAAAATCCCAATTATGTAAATATATTTGCAAAGCTGTACAACTAGTAAAATAATACAAAATTGCCTTTCATATTTATACTCTAAAACATTTTTTATTTGCAAATTTATTGGGGCCACTATTATATTTTACCTGGGACCTCCACTCTGAAGTTGCGTCTGACACAGCTAGTTTGCCTAGGCTGAAGTCTGCCCTTGCTCTCAACACAGACATAAATACACATAAATCAGATATGGTGAACTCATTTCAACAATACTTATATTAGACTTGGCATACAATGTATGATAGATACACATCAAAATACTGGAGTAGATTAATTTTTAATGAGTATGAAGTGGATATCGATCTAAAAATATCAAATGGACTTTTATTTTCTGGGTTAATCATCAGAGTGTAACTGATACACACATAAAATCTTCTCTCCCATACTTTACAAACTAAATGTAAGAAAATGGAATAATAATACAAATAATAATAATTTTTTAAAAGATTATTCTGCCTTTCTGAAAACAACAATACTTAAATGCAACATTTTTGTAAATATCTTTAATATTCCTGGTCCACCTTTATTTTTATAAACAGTAATTTTTCATTTTTGAGAGGTTTTACTCTGTTTCCTGAACTTCCTTGCATCTGTATGTATATAATGTATATACATATTTACACTCCTATTTTTAATACACTTATTTAATTTTATGTGTGTAATTAACATTATTCTTGTTATTGACGAAAGCAGAGAAACAGGTACCACATCCCTACCACT